AGATATCATATATGCTTATTTTCATCAAAACTTCACATACATTATTATTATTATTATTATTATTATTATTATTATTATTAATACTACTAGTTAATAGAAAGTTTACTTGATTTATTATTAGTTAACATTTGATGTGCCAATTTTATTAATTTATTTCATCTAAAATTTAATTTAAATTACTAAGAGTGATTATCGTAATCTATAAGAATTTTCCCTTTTAATTATCATCATTTTTACTAGTTTTCTGATTTTTCTTATTAGGGATCTACAAAGATATCCTATAAATCAAGAATTTTGCTATTAGCGCTGGTTTTCTAATTTTTCTCATCAAGGATCTACAAAAGATATCCTATAAATCAAGAATTTCCATATTTGAGTTGTTGAATTTAAGATTTTTTTAAAACCCTAATTTTTACAGCTAAACCCTATTTTTTCCTTTTTTGTGATTTATTTGATCTTTCTGCTTCCTTTTTTTTTGAATTGTAAACAACTTGATCATAAATAATCTACCTTTTTAATATCTTTTTGCTGCAACTATAGTTCTAGATGAAAAAAATAAAGAACTAATAGTGAAACTAAAAGATAAAAGGATATAACTTGATTTTAAGTGTTGCTCTAATATCAACTAATTTGACCCTCATGATTATATAGATTTAGAAACTCACGGTTAAATCAACCCTGCCTAAAAAAACTAAATTCAGGGTTATAATTGAGCTTGACTTAACAATAACTTATACTGTGACACCAAAACAATAGGCTTGAATGAAAAGTATAGAAGACACCATAAAACTTGGTTAAATTTTCAATAGTTCAATGAAGAACCAAAATATAAGAATCCACTCAAAAACATATAATAAGGTTATTCTAAAATCAAAGTCTTTAAGAAAAACCTAAATAAAAGATAAATAAAAATATTTATAATATGTGAAATGTTCTAAACATGGTTGGAAAAATAATAAGAGAGTTCTAAATAAATAAATAAAACAATCATAAATCAACTAGTAAACTACTACAAATCCTTTATAGTAGTTTTTGGTCCTTATCGTAAGGTTTTACTAATTTTTAATGCCATGCCATTTTAACCCAATATAAAAAAGATATCTAAAAACCTTTTGTAAAAATTCAGCCCAAGCTAACGGTCGGATAGAAATTTATGCTTATTAAAGTGAAATTGTTCATAAAAAAATAAGTCCAAAACTTGCTATAATGCTAAAATTAATTATCCAATGAAGTAGATGGATTTGACTCCTCTTGTAAATGTATTAAATTTACTAAGGTCTAATTATATCTTGTTGAAGGTGTAACCTTCTTAAAATTCACCTTAACCCAAATACTTGAAATAAGTTCATTGAATATATTTTTTAGCTTCTTTACTCTTGATCTTGTGATTGGCCCATCTAGAACTTTGATTAGATCTTTTGATATTAGTTTGGATCACATCAAGAAAATGGTTTAAAATGGCTAAAAATAAAAAATTGAAAAGTTTTTTATTGAATTAGAAAGGATGCTTACATTGAGGGATTATTTTAATACAATCAGGGATGAAATTGAGAAGAAATGCTAAGAAAAGGGTTGGACTTTTACAAAAATTAAAAATTAAAAATCCAAGGACCTAATTCAAAAAGGTAGGAAAATCGAGAGACCTATTTTTCAAAATAAAAATTATATTAAAATAAATTATGCATTTTTATCAAACCAATATCATTTCGTAACAAATAACAAAAAGAAAAAAAATGCATTGAAACAACATCATTTTGGTGTATAGTTGAATAATACTTTTTTTTCCCCAATAGCAGCCTACAATTGTTATTTTTTAGTTTTGGCATGAGTGTGGCCAATTGTTTTCTCTCTCCATGTGTACTACATTACCCTCATATGCATGTGTGTTTTATTCTCAACCAAGATACATGATTTGACCTTCAAAGTCCGCCACAAAGCTAATGCAAAAAGGTAAACTTGAGCATGCTTTACCAAAATGTACAATTATGGAGAAGTGTGGAGATTAACCTAAGGAAACTATTGGCCATTGTCAAGCTACCAAGAAAGGTTATAGAATCTTCATTCTTATCTATAAACAAAGGGGAAAAGTAATAAACAAAAAAAGCATATTTAGAGAAAGAAAATGTCAAGTTAGAGAGAGAAGAAAATGAGAATTTGAGCTAATAAAAATGAATTTAATATAAGCCAAATGGTATTAGAGGAAAAAAAAGAAGTAAAAAATAGAGAGAAAAAAACCTTAAACCTGAACAAAAAAAAAAAGAGGTTTTAGAATGAGAATAGAGGTGCTTTGAACCAACTATTAGCAAAGAGAAAAAAAATGAGAAGAAAGAAAGAAAAAAAATGAAAACAAGGAAAAACCCAAAAACCTAAGAAAAATAGAAACCCAAAGTAGAGAGAAAAAATGACTTGAAAACCACACCATTACTGACACATCACTGTCATTGTCACCAAAACAAGTCTTTCCTCATTTAGAACAAGCCTCAAAATATGTCAGGTTCTTTTTCTTTCTCATTTCTTCCTCCTTATTTACTATTCACAAATGAAATTAATACACATGTTAGTCACTATTTATTAATGTATTTTTATTTTATTTTGATTTGATTTTTTTTCATGTTGATGTTATTTAATTTTATAAAATTGCATCTTTTTCTTTTTACTTACATATGAGCATATAAAATATTTGTTAAAAAATTAAAAATAAAGTTGATGAGTAAAAACATGTTTTTTTATGAAACTTGAGACCTAACAACCAGATCGATGTGTCTTCTAGTTTTTAGAGACCGACATAGACCTAACATGATATTTTGAATCTTAAAACAAGTTTAATAATGAGTTGATTAGTTTTGGTCAAGTTAGCATCAAGTTTTTATTAATCATAAATTTAAATTTTAATGGTTAGGTTGGCATGTCTTCAAGTTTTAAGGGTTAATGTAGGCCTAGCATGATGTTTTAAACCAAAAACAATGTCAATAGTAAATCCACAAGTATCTTTTGAGTAGGGTCTGATATGAAACAAGCATTATATTCTTTCCAAATTTGTTTTGTAATAAAATAAATAATAAATAATAATGATAAAAAATTCAAGAAATATATATATAAAAAAAAACTAAAATAAATCATCAAGTTATGAGACTTATAATATATGATTTGTTGTTAACTTGATGAGCATTCATGAAACTAAATGATTTGCAAATAAATTGAGAATATAATTTAGACAATAAATAACATATAAAATTAATATAGAAAAAATACATGGTTAAGGTAATATTTTCTTAGAAAAGATATGGTAAAGATGATTTTTATTTTCCTTTAAATATAACCAATATCTTTCTTAGGTGTTTTTTAAAAAAACTAGGTTGTAACTCCATGTTTTATATTTTCTATTAATTTTCAAATGTCTCATTTTTATTAGATGAAACAAAATTGTTAGACTATTATAACTCAAGATTCAATTACAATGTCGATTTCTCCCATTAATCCAAGTTACAATTGTTAAGCGAGTATCACTGAATTTTTTTTCTGTTTGTTTAGTTTATGTAGTTTCAAGAGTTTGCATCTTGGTCTTGAAACTTTATATTTTTTATATTTTAATCCCTAGATGTTAAAATATGAGAGAAAAAATAACTTAATAAAACAGTGAAGAGAGAAAATTTTAGCTACCCACGTTCTAGTTGCTAATAAGGCTTATCTCTAACGTAAATGGTTTCACTTTGGAGAGAAAAATTCGATGCAAGTTGTTTTCTCCTTTAAATAAATTATAAAAAGTATATCGATGCTCATTAAAAAAAAATTTTATTTGCTTTGATTTTTTTATTCTAAATTGATTAAAAGGTATTTTATGATTGAAAATGAACTTTTTTTTTTGTGTGTTTTCATGTTAAAATAAATTTAAAATTGGATTTTTAAAATCTAAAAACTTAAATCTTAATTTTCTGACCATTAAAGGTAACATAAAAATTAAATTGGGTTTTTTTATTATCCATTTTTAAAAAAAAAAAACTACAACAACATTGATCGTATTAAAAAGAAATAAAGAAATTAAAGCCAATCTATACTTTTTTCTTTTAAACTAGTCGTGTGGCTTTATCCTTCTAGGCCCAAGTTCGTAGCCTCATTTAAAATAGCTCTTTAATTTTTTGTAATTATTTATTTATTTTAATTTAGCATTGAGTTCACTATAAATAAAATTATTAAAATTGTATTTAAAAATTTATCTAACTATTAGATTTTTTATGGTAATATAAATTAACTTATTATTTTTTAATATAACAATGAATATTTAAAGGAAATAAAAATAAAGAAATTAAAGCAATCTATACTTTTTTCTTTTAGGCTAGTCGTGTAGCTTTGTCCTTCTAGGCCCAAGTTCCTAGCCTCATTTAAAATGGCTCTTTAATTTTTTATAATTATTTATTTATTTTAATTTAGCATTGCATTCACTATAAATAAAATTATTAAAATTGTATTTAAAAATTTATCTAACTATTAGATCTTTTATGGTAATATAAATTAACTTATTATTTTTTAATATAACAATGAATATTTAAAGGAAATAAAATATTTTTAAAAATATTTTATATAATTTCTTCACATTAATTATTCTATTTGTTTTATACAAGTATAAAAATTATTGAGTCAAGACTGTTTTTTTTTTAATGAAATAAGATATTTTTTTATAAAAAAAAACACTATACCTCTAATAAAAAATACATTTTTATCCAAAAAACAAATACATGAATATAGAAAGAGTTTTGATTGAAAAGATACATATTTTTTCTTAATTTAAATTATTAAGATTTTTATTTTAATTGCCTTTAATTTTTATTTATAAACACATACTACTAATATAAAAATATAATTTTTTGTCAAAAAAAAAAAATACATGAATGAAAAAGGAAATTTTGGATAAAAAATACAATTTTTTACTTTATAACTTAAATTTTAATCTTTCTTACAAATATCTATTGTAATTGAAAACTGACTTACATCATAGTATCTAGTTCAATCTGAAATGTGTATTGCTGACCAGATGCTGGTCTACAATCCGCTTTTATTATTGAATTATAACTATTTTAATGGTTTACAAAACATTTAAACTCATAGAAACAATAATTGAAAGCAATCAGACGACAACAACAAAAATACTCACAGAATACAAGTTTCAACTATGGTGACTCAAAACCCTACGCAGTGTCTTCAAGGAAAGGATAATCAGTGTAACCAACAACAGGGTCATGTGTATAAAATGTTTCTCTGTTGTACTTGTTGAGAGGAGCATGAAGTTCAAATCTCCTCGGCAAATCTGGATTTGCCAAGAACAAGCGACCATAAGCGACAAGGTCTGCACGGTTCTCTTCAAGAGCTTTGTTTCCATCTTCCCTGTCATAACCACCAGCAACAATGAATGTATTGTTGAAAGCCTTCCTCATAGGCAGCAGACTTTCAGAGAATTTTGTATTCCCTGCGCCTATCTTCATTCTTGGCTCAACCATGTGGCAGTAAGCAATACCGTATTTATTCAAGGATTTAACCATGTAGAGCCCTAGAGCTTCAGGATCTGAGTCTCCCGATTCCATATAGTTTACATGAGGAGACAGTCTTATTCCAACTTTATCTGATCCTATCTCATTCGCTATAGCCTCAACTATTTCCAAAGTGAATCGGCAGCGGTTCTCTAGTGATCCACCATATTGGTCTGTTCTGTTGTTTACTTGATCTTTCATGAACTGGTCAATTAGATATCCGTGAGCCCCATGGATCTCAACTCCATCAAAACCTATAAAAAGCACAGAACAAGCTTTATGTCATGGTGTGTATTATTTATGAAACCCAATTTGCAGATGTTCTAACTTCATTTCCAACACAAAAACTTTACATTTTTGTTTTGGGTGGGATGAAGCTAAAGTTTCTAAAATGTTGTGCAATCACGTATTGTTCAGCTTGTTAAAATCCTGTAAGAAAATTCTGAGTTTCCAAAATATCTGAGATAGAAAGTTTACCAGCTTCTATTGCGTTCCTCGCAGCAATTCTGAAATCATTGACTATTTGAGGGATTTCATCTGTCCTTAGACGCCTCGGAGGTGTGAACTCCATGCCTTCAAGTTGAGAAGATATTGGCTTGTCTGTAGAAGAGACCGGAGCTTGCCCATCTGGCTGGAAACCTGCAAATGCCAATAATATAGAAAAATTAATTAGTAACCATATTAATCTTTTCATTGTTTGAAAAGGACTTTGCTAATCGTATTAACTAACAAGAAAGTATGGCCCATGAACACAAAGCAGCATTAATCATGGTTGCAGATACTGGAAACAGAACTTTAACATACTAGGAACAAAATTAAAATTTATGCATCAACGAGATTAAAGGCAATAACTCACCGCTATTTGACACCCTCCCGACATGCCAAATTTGACAGAAGAAAATACCTCCTTTGGCATGGACAGCATCCACAATGGGTTTCCATGCTTCGACTTGCTCTCTGGTCCAAATACCTGGAGCATGTAGGTACCTATATATATTCATATGTAAGAGTATGAACACACTGAAGTGTCAATGTAACAAGATCAAATATTGAAGTGACGTTGCTCTATTCCAGTAATCGCAACAAAAAGTCGCCAGTTAGATTGAGTATGGCATCAGGCATGGCTGATGGAATTACCCTTGTGCTGTGTCAGAAACTCCAGTGGCTTCAGATATGAGAAGACCCCCCTTTGTGGCTCTCTGGGAGTAGTATAGAACGGCATGCGGCTGAGGAACGTTATCGTAAGATCTCTGTCTAGTCAATGGTGCCAGGACAATTCTGAAAAAAAAAATGAAATCACCGAAGTAGTTATAATTAAAATGATATTCAAAGAAAGCAGTATATCCACTGCATTAACTATTTATTTAACCCGGGAATTTACATGATTATATCTCCCGGTCATGAGTTGGTGATGAAAAACAGGAAATCAAAGAACAAACAGCTATGATAAGGATAAATTACCTAAAGCTTGACCCAACAGCCAAAAAGTTTTGGATGATCTTATAACAAATTCATTACCCAACATATCAAATGAAACAGAAAAATCAAGAAGAAAGAAAAAGGAAAGGTCATATACTAATTTCTTCGTGTCATACATATCGATTTTTAATGATCAACAAGACTTCAAAGAAGAATTCTGAATACAAAAGCAACATTTTGCTGCTGAAAACAGTAAAGCAAACTGAGATCACAGCATGTCATCTACATCAAACCATGCAAACTCAAGGAAATGGATGTACACGAATCCATACTGTACATTAAAGAAAAGGGAGATAACGTGAGTAATCAAGTACCTGTGAGAAAGATTAAACTTGCCCATCTTGTATGGGGTGAGAAGAGGCATCGTGGGAGTCTCAGCAACTTGCAGTTGATTAATTGTTATTGTGGTGATTCACTAAGAACTTGGAGGAGTTGGTACGCGAGATCAGGTAAGCGTCGGGGGCTATTTATAGTTTTAAATGCTCCTGTTGACTTGCGAAAAAAAAAAAGTGATGACGTTTGAAGGTACGTATTACAGAGGAGGGATCAAATTTGAACGCTGCAGTCATTGGTAATGATGTTGAATTCATGGTCTTTAAAAATTTAAAATAAAAAAATTGTCTTTTTAATATTATTGTCCAATTTTTCTACAAATTATATTTTAATCGATTAAAATATAATTTTTATATATATAAAAAAAAATTTATATGAAGAGAGCTAATAATGTCTTAAACCGGCTTGGCATCTGAGAGAATGTGTGACTGGTACATATCAATAGCATATTCTCTCTTTCTTTTTTTTCTAACTACGAAATTATCAACAACATTATTGTTTATTTGTTTTAAAAATTTATTTTTTTATATTTTTTATTTATTTTAAATTAATATATTTTTAGTATTTTTAAATCATTTTGATATGTTGATATCAAAATAATTTTTATAAAATAAAAAAATTATTAACATGCATTTTAATATAAAATATTATTTAAAAATTAATCATAATCACAATACTAAACAAAAAAAATTTTCAATTTATTTCTATTATAGAGATGCGGTTGTCTAGGTTCATAAAGGTTTCCTTTGATGACAATGGTTTAAAATTGTTTTTTATCATGTGTTCTTATTTTTTATATTTTTAATGTAATATATCAAAAAATTAAAAAATATTATTTTTTGTTAAGAAATATTTCTGTAAAATATTTGGTTTGTAACTACAAGTTGAAAGATAATTTATATTTTTTTATCGATAAAGTTTTAAGAAAAATACATATAAAATCATGATGAATTAAAATGTTTTTAAATTTATTATTATAGAAAAACACAAATCGAATCCAAAAAGCCTTTGGATTTTATTTTATTTTATTCATTTGGATTCTCTCGCTTTCTCTCGGCCACTTTGGTAGTTAACTTTGTAATGTTTCGAACCAAACCCACGTTCTATTCGAGGTGAACAGTGGTTGGGTTTTCCCTGTGTGAACAGCCGAAATGTTCGAGTGGACGGAGGGAACGTGACTTCTGGTTCAAAAGCGAGATATGGATAGATTTTCTGGTCTGTGATTTTGAAGGAACCTAAAGTAAAACCGATCAGTTCCGGCGAGAGAACGTGTCTGAATATCACTCTTCTTTTCTTTTCTTCTGCTGGTAGTTGGGGCTGTATATTATCCTTGTTTGCGAACGTAAACGCAAGAACGCAGTTTATTTCTGATAAGGTCCACAGTAATTGCGTTTAAAATGCACGTTTATCAAAGCAACTCGCAGCTGCTGCTTTTTTTCTATGCATTGTTCACATTGCGTTCAATTTTAGTTCCTATATTAAGAAGAGGGAGAAAAACTCACTAAAAAACAAAGTTATCAATTGACCATAATCTAGCTAATTTGTATATCAATTGACTTCTTTTTTTCAAGAAGTTCAATGAATGTGGTCCTTCTCTCAATGACGTCTTTTTTTCAAGGAGTTCAATGAATGTGGTCTTTCTTTCTAAACATGGCCACAAAAAAAAAAACAAAAAGAGGTCAAGTTGTACTTGGTTATTTTAATCAAATTGATTTTTATTTTTTAGATTTATTTTGAAGTGTTTTTAGGGTTGATAAATGATTTATGAAGATTTTTATGGTGCTTAATTCTGTGATAATTTATTTTTATCATATAATTTAATAAAAAATAATTTTTTAAAAAATAAAATTATTAAATCAGTAAAGTTTATGATCTAAGTTACAAGTTAAATTGTGAAACCTGAGTCAATTGAATATCTCATCATCTCAATATTTAAAAGAAAGATGTTATCTTGAGTTTTTTTAAAAAATTAAACCATATTTTTACCAGATACTCGAGTTGTTTTTAGATTCATGAGTCAATCGAGTCATGTCGGAACAATTCTCGTACAATTCAATTTAAAATTCGAGCTAAATAAAAAATCAAATCAAGTGCTTTCAAAATTGCTCTATAATAAAAGGTTTAATAATAATGTCAATAAATAAATAAATTGCGACTTAAGTATGTTTTTTATGTTTAAATTTAACAAAACTCTAAAAAGCGTGGTGAATTCACTATAATAATAGATATAATTTATCATTAATCACAATGAATTGCTCTTTGTACCTCTCAATATAAAATTTGGAAGGTTGAGATATTAATTATTTTATATAATAAAAATACTTTTTTACCAAAGTTAGTGAAATTTAAACTTGCTAATCAAGGGGTTTTTTTTACTTTGCACAAACTTTAAATTAAGTGCTTCTTTGCCCTTAGATAAGATAAAATAACTTATATGCATTTATGCGTGTTTTGGTATTTTTATATTGGTTTATTTGTTATTTTCTAAGTTATAAGCAGCTTTTTAATAATTTAATATTAAATTTAAAAAAGTTATTATCACATGTTATTCAAGCGCTTGTATGGTGGTCGTGTCTGTGTTTTTTTGGCAACATGTGCAACACCATTATTTGTCAAAAAATAGCCTTTCACCATGTCATTAAAAGCGTCGCCACGTGCTTTTTCTCTTAGTATAGCTCATGTCAATGGTGGACCAATGATTTGTCATTGGTGGTCATTTCTTTTTTTTTTTCTTTATACTATTCTTTTTTTTTAGTTAAAGTACATGTTTATCCTCTTTTCTTTTTCTTTTTCAATTTTAGTCATTATGTTTTTTATTGTTTAATTTTATCTTGGTCTTTTTACAATATTTTTTTTTTGTATTTTGAATTCAGTTTTTAAATTATAATTTGTTATATATTATTTTCTTCAAATTGATCCTTATTTTTTTTATTTATCTTTTTTACCCCTGGATTTTTTATTAAAGTTTTATTAGTATTTAATTTTACCTTTCAATTAAAGTTTATGTTGTTTTTTTTATTTAAACCTCATTATTTTTATTTCTTTTTTCCTTTCATTAGTTTTTTTCTTTTCAGTTTAACCTTCCAATTTAATTTTTTAAATGCCCTCAAATTTATTTTTTATTTTGATTTCCACCCTCATTTTTTCATTAATTTTTTTTTTGTGGTTGATTTTTTCCTCGTTTACATCCTTTGGTATTTTATTTATTTGGGATTGGGCTTCATGATTTTTTTCATTTGTCATGCTTCTAATTTAATGACACGGGTTATAAATTTTAAGTGCTACTATAGTTATGAATATTTTTTCATCATATTATTTTGTGATTTTATCATTCTACATTGTTTTAAAAACATTATTTTGTAGTTACCTTCATATTTTTTTCCACTAGTTTATCTCGATTTCATTACCTAAACCACATGTTTTGTAAAGCTATTTTTGAAAAAAAAAGGTTTTTTTTTAAAAACTGTTTTATTTTTTGTTTAATTTTTTTGATTTTTGATTTTACTTTATACAAACAAGTTTTGTTTTGTACAAAAAATAATTATTTTGAAATAATATTTCCAATATGTTTGACCATGTATATCTCTTTTTTTTTTATTCACTTTGTTTCATACGTGTTTTTATTTCTATTATCTTTTATAGATCTTAATAAACAAATTTAATGGACATAAACGAATAAATGTCTTATTTTGCGAGACCATATATCTTAATCTATGCCAATTTCTTAATTTTTTTGAATTTTTATTTTAGTTATTATTAACAATTTTATTTATTTATTTACATAGATGATTATTAGATTTTTAGATAAAAATTTTGATTTACATTTATAATTTTTATTATGAAAAAAAAAATATGAAAATAGTTTTTATGCTCAAGTTTTTTTTAGAAACAAATTTATGACTCACTACAAAGCATGATCAAATAAAATTATTAGTTGCCCTTTAATTATTGTTTTTTTTCGCATTTATTTTTTTAAATCCTTTTGTGTTATTAATGTTTTTTTATTTTAACTTTTGACTTTTGATTTGTTAGAAATTTAGTTTCATACAATCTTATCACTCAATATTTATTTTTAAAAAAATTGGTTTTGTAGTTATTTTTAATTTTTTTTATAAATTCATCCTGATTTTATGATTTAAATCATGAGTTTTGTGTGTTATTTTATATTATTTATATAAGCTTTTTTTCTTAATTATGTTTATGCACATATAGTTGAATATGGAAAATATTTATAAAGTTTAAATTCATCAAATACCATATAAGTTTTCTGTTCAGCAATATTATTGAATTCCTCCACCTATTAGTTATTAGGATAGGGCAAAAACTATGATAAAGTTTTGGCTTGTACCGTGGTGATGCGGTAGTTTTTTCAGAAAAACAAAAGAAGATATTTTTTAATTAATTTATTGTTTTCTCAATTTAATTTATTTATTTTTAATTATGATGTTTTTCTAATTTTTTTAAAGGTAATTTCTTCCTAATTTATTTTTTTATTCTATATTATTAAAGTTTTCTAATTTATTTTTTAAAATAAAATGTTGTAATAACTTTTTTATTATTGTTATTGTTGTTATTTTTTTTCTTTGTAAGTTGTGACATTAATAAAGAATAATTGAATGTTTTAGTTGTCCCTCCTCCATTGTAAAGTTGTTTTTAATTTTTAAAGATTTTGATATGTAATAAACTTTTTTATTCTTTATTCTCATCTAAAAATTATGTGATTTTTATTTGTTAGCTCTATATTTTATATTTTATTTTTGGTTTCTTAGAACTCAAAAAAACTTCTTTATCCATGAAATTCTTACATCTATCCTCGTCTACCCTCGTGCCTGTGTTAAATCCATATTCTATATTTCTCTAACAATTGACAAAATAAATAAATAAATAAAATAACTACCACTGCTGTCACATTCATCGAAATACATACAATATATAAATAAATATTCAAATCTTGTTTCAAAATTTATGTAAATATGAATTTTAATAAAAAATGAAAAATTTGAGTTATAAAAATCATTAAAAAAAATTCTCAAAATGCTAAAAAGGTAACAACCAAATTTAAAATCATAAGTGGAACTAAAGCACAAGTGTCGGAAACAATAATTTCAAACTTGAATGATACCG